CCCTAAGTTAAATCAGTTTACGAGTTTTGAGTTTCTGTTATTGTGTTCTTGTTCTTTCGTGCATTTTCGGTGTCTCAAGACCAGTTTCGCCATCCTACAATATCTTCTCCATCTCCAGTATTTTTATCGATAACTATAATGTTGGCTTCGTTAATTAAGTATATCGTACGAACTTCCCTATTATTTTTCCATATTTGTAACACAGCTTAATAAAAATTCAAGCGAAAACGTAAATCTACGTGACTCGTCTTAGGAAGAACGGGTGTTTCAAAATGGAAAAACGTAGATTTACGCAGCCTGTTCGTTAAACGTTAACTTGAAAAATATTAATTTGAAGTATATTTATGCGTGAAGAAAATACTTTCATAATTATGGGCACATATATATTTAATTCCCTTAGAAAATGCTTGGAAACCGAGAAGTACAGCGGAAAAACAACCCGTTTGTTAACCCTTTCGCTACTACAGGCGACTATAGTCGTTCTCCATAAAATGCCACTGAGGTACTACAGGCGACTATAGTCGTTCTCCATAAGATGCCACTGAGGTACTACGGGTGTTAATAAATGTTCAAGTTAATAAAGGAGGATACTTACAAACCATAGGAAGAGTTCAAACTGAGAGCTGTTATATTTTCAGCCTGTTCTCCACTGTTGGCAATCGTTAAACATATCAAGGTTGCCTGGAAGCCTGCAGCCCTCTTCTGTAAACCAGTCTTAACTTTAAGCGGTTGGTTCGACTCATTATTTTTCGACTCGCTACTTCCTGAAGTATTACCAGCTGGAGAATCATGGTCGGATGAACTTTCGATTTCCTTGGCTGGATCAGCTGTCAGTGATATCTCTAAAGTCTACAGTAAACGCCAATGAATCGTTACAATTGAATTGGCAAGCATTAAATTGTTATGTTAATACTATAATATAATTATGCAAATCAAATAATTCCCAATTTAAAACAAAGTCAAACATAATAGCGTTCTAGCGTTTATAGGATGACTTTTAGTACGTAAATATGATTTTATAGAAAAACGTGTAGTGGATTTTGTTTTTCAAAAGTCGAAGAATTAATAGCTTATTGTCAGAAAAAAGTAACCAAAATTGGACTTCTTTCACAGAATAATGCCAGAAAATAAGAAAATCATGACAATCTATGTTATTTAGCAGTAATGAAGAACTCCTTTATTTCTACTTTTATGATTCATGAAACTATTTCATCGTGTCTTCTCTTCGTAACTTAATTTCTAAATTGGCTAGTGTTCATTTCGCACTTCTAATTTATACGAATAGAGTAAATGTAATAATATGTGTTTTTCTCATTGTTTTTTAAAGGTAATAATAAATATCACGGGATATTTTAAAAATAATTCTTTACTCAAATCGAACTCTGTATATTTCATTAGAAGTGACAGTTTAGTCAATGCACCCTTTTACCGAATATGTTCCTTTTAATCACGTTAATTTATAAATTATAAAAAATAATGAACGATAGAAGAAACTGAAAAATAAAAGATCTCAAAAATGAACGAAGAAAGATATTAGCTATGCCAAAAAGAAGATAAAATGATGAAGCTACTAGGATATTTAAAGTCTTTAAAACAACTTTAACGTATTTATTAAATATAATATACAAAAATCTTGAAGAAACTTAGAAAACGAGCATAGGTCGTTCTATTTTTCGATTAGAATTATTCTATTAATTGAATTATTTAATTATTCTATATAATTCTATTAGAATTATTTCTCTATTAGGATTTTATTAGAATCAGGAGTGGAAGTAGTAAAATAAATATATTCGTAACTGCGAAACAAAAAGATCAAACACGGATTTGAAATATATTATAAATAAATCACCTTATTACGTAAATAATAAAATTAATTTTTTACTTTCCCTATAAAAAAAAAATTTATGTGAAGTATTTTTGATATGGGACAAATATGAGGAAGAACTTTGGAACATTTGCTCTGTCCTGTTTTTAACTTTAAAAATATTTTACGCTATAATTCGTTACACGAGTTCTGTCAAAATTGATGTTTTAATAACAAATTGAGGAAACTTTTGAAGCTACAGAATTGATTTTAACGTTAACACTGGAACTACCGATCTTTGATAGACACCTAAACACATTAGGCATAGATAATAGTAACTTTAGAGATACGATGAAGATAAGTAAGTATATTAATTACAGTTCTATCGCAATATGAGTGAACACTAATTTTTTTCAAAGTAGATATACATTTTTAGTAATTGCAGAAAGAGAAATTTCGAGACTAGTCATTTGGACCGGATTGATACTCTTAGTGTTAACATTAACATTAGAAAAGTGTTAGAAACACAATCATTGGAGGTCTGACTTTGGTTACTTTTCTTTACAAAGTTAAACCGAATACCGAATTTTCCGCCATTTCTTTTTAACTGACTAACATACTTCACGTTAACATATATACAAAACAATTACCTTCTCAGCGATCTAATCATTAACTGATACAACATTACGATGTTAATGTTATCGCAATTGTTAAGGCTTTTATACTCCCATGATTTGCATACGCGACTGTTATTAAAATTATATGTGTATGTTAAAAAATAAATTACTTACCACTACTTCAGACATACTCTCAACTTTTTTGAATTTAAATAAAACAACGTGTCTTCCACTTCCCGCAATAGCTAATTTCCGACTTTCGGGACAGAGGAAGATGAGTTGTATCGCTAAAGGGTCTTCTTCCGAGTCTATACTACGCGTTCTACCTTTTTCAAAAAGTTTCGCTGTCTTCAATTTATAAAGAACTTGTAATGTGCCTGCCGATGCATCCCAAAATTTTATACTGCCATCAGCGTGCCTGAAAATATGTTTGTTAGTACTATATAGTATCCTAAACAATTATTATATTGTATTAGTGGAATTCAACTGTATTTCGGTTACATTTTCTAAGAAATAAGTCACTTATAATCACAGAATATAAGTATCAATGTAAAATACAAATAATAAAATAGGTTTGAAATATACGTGAAATAAACTTGACAAATGTAAATGAAAGAATTATATGAGATATGGTAATATCATGTAACGAACAATATAATAAAATATTAGTAAAAAAATAAATTTTGCTAATATCTAATAATAATCTCTATATGTGATAACGTATTCTTTATAAAATATTTTTAATTTCATCAAATATTTTATAATATTTTAATTATAATTATTTACTGTACGTAACATTAAAACCTTTTTAAGTATATCAGTAATATAAAAAATTGAATAATGTATGTAAACACAAAATATCGTTTAATATACTTAATTAAAATTGACATAGAAAAATGATTTATTTAAACATTTGTTAATGTGATAAAGATTACCATTTTATCGATGAGACGCTCTTATAATAATATAATTAAACACTTTTCAAAATAATAAACTTAGGTAAAGATATGTAGCTACGAGATATGAATAACGTGTGACATTATAGTCTTGCAATTGAATATATAATATTCTGTAATGTATTCGTAATAATATTTCTGATTCAACAAGAAAAGAGTACTTATACATTCAATTCTTCAATAATTTAATAACTTAACTTCCAAAAAATTTTAATTCTTATTAAAAAAAGAATAACATTTTTACTGCTTCGTTACTTTTAGTGTTATAGAATAGTTCAAAATAAATTCCATGACAGTGAGTTATTTCTATAAACATATTACAATAATTATTTGATAAGATAACATATGAAAGAAGTAGAGTGAAAAATATGCAATAGATTAACATAAACAATTGATAAATAGACATCATAATTAAATATTTATTTTCCTAAATGTATATTAACCCTTTGCACTCGACGATTTTTTGGCTGGAGAAGAGTAGAAATTTAAAGATTCTCTACTAAAAAATTGACGATACTTTTTTGAGCAGTAAATAAAGAATTGTATAATAATAGAATTGTAGAATTATTTGATTTCGATACCTCACACACTGTCACATTACATTAAATTTGATATATTAATCAATATCGATCTTCTAAATTTTATGAAATGGTGACTGAAGATCACCTCTCAAGTGCAAAGGGTTAACCCTTTAACTGCTACGCCGAAATCACATGTTTCCCTCAGGGCGCCACGGTAGTGCACCGTTAGATGCAAGATTTGTTCTAATATGTTCTTGATGTTCTAATAAAAATTTTTAATCGTTCAATAGGGCACATTTTATTTCGAAGTATCTTCTAATTAGCGGTTATATTCAAAATACACTAACTGTCAATTTTCATTTAATGTAATTCAATGTAGTTCCAGCGCTCCGGTCACCAATGACCACCGTGGCGTCACAGGTGAAACCGTGGCCGGTCATATATGACCAACGTGGCAATCAAAGTTAAAATATATATTATATCATATTAAAATATGTACTAAAATATACACACTAAGATAATAAATATATTTTTCTTTTAAAAAACGTATATACAAAATATATATTTACCCGGTTAATATAATTTCATTGTAACCGCTTGAGCTTGAGCTCCATTCACCACCAGATATGGGCCAGTCCTTTTCACTGAACCCTGTCTTTTTTTGAGACTTTGACCCAACTGAATAAAAAGCTGGTACTAAATCCGAAGGACAGTCTGCAAAATATGCACAGCAAGTCACAGGTGATTCGTGTATATCCATTGGATAAGGATTTTCGAAACATGGAAATCCAGCAGTTAATAAATCTATCACAACCAAGTCGTTTTGTAGTAGAACCACAACAGCATATGGATCTTGATAATCTATAGAAACAGAAAAGATTATTCATAGCAATTCTCTACGTGAAGTCACAAAATTTAGAATTACATACACTCATTTATCAATTTTATCTTTTCTCTTATATAAAAAGAGACTTTTTCATATGAAAGGATAATTCGTGTAGAAAGAAAAATATATATACATTGTATTATTGAATCTATAAAACATATTAATTTTTATTGCTACATTTGCATATATATTTTATATACTTTCTATAATAAACTGAAAGGGATTTTTAATAATTATGTTAATATACCACTGGTCCATGGATTTTCGCACAGCGTTATGAAGTCTATCACATTATGTTCCATTTCTAGTACAGTGGTGGTTTTCCCGTGTATCACCGTTATGCTTGGAGTTCGGCCAGTTGTGTCGAACGCCAAACCACCGGAAAATATGACGTACGCTTCCCTAAATTAATAAGAACAGCTCAACGTCATTCAAGTCCCGAACGTTTAATCGCTTGAAGTACAGAATGTCCAGCAACATGTAGGATATGCTTTAATTCTTTGTCTTAGGACGTTTTGTGTAATTGTAAGAATAAGATAAGAAAATAATTTTAAGAAATTTTTATAACTTCGACCACGTATTTGTGTATGAATAGACTACGATCAAACTCGGATCTAAATTTTCTTGTATTTGTTTAAAACAATTTTTTAAAATAAAATTTCACTCCTTCAGAGAGAATTTCGACTCGACAATAATTATGTCTGCAAAGGATTAATATACGTTAAACTGTTAACTAATTTTTAGTGCTTTTCTGTTCAAGTCATACGAATTATATACGCAACTCATGTCGTTATTAACCATCTAGCACCATGTTATGTGTAAATACTACCGATAGTACACTACGATCGAATGGATGTGTATGACAGAGCCTAGTGCGATAGACGAGCGGAAGTTAGTTTATGATTGCGGTGTGTGTTTGAAATACCTGGTCCACTGTGATTGTGGGGAAAGAGACATGATTTGGAAGGAAAGCCTGAGTGTGAAAAGAGGACAGAATGAATGGTTTAAATAAGAATACATGGGCACGGGCGAGTCAGTGTGCCAATCTTAAAGAGTCGAAGTATGTCCAAAGTCTAAAACAGTCAGTGTGTCGGAGTGTGTTAGTCAGTGTGTAAACCATTATGTAAGAAGTCCAAGTCAGTCTAAAAAAGATCAGAAGAGCGTGCCCATAGCGAATCTCTCTTGTTTCATAGTCGTCATTCTAATCATAAGCTTATTTTATTCTATTAATAAGTTAACAATATTATCTTGAGTCAGTCCACCCAAAATCCGATCCTACATATATGTCTAGGTAACGGTAATAAATATGGTACAAAATGTACCAAATGTTCACGATTTACATGGAATATCAGTGTGGGGTCTCGAGATACCCCGTTACCGTTGAACAAGGGACCGTGCTCCGAAGATTAATTATGCTGTAAGATTATACATAAAATATGAAGTATTGTTTCTAAGTATTCTCTAATACAAGTAGTAATAAATGCTGAAAGATTCATTACTATAAACAATTATCTGTAATTTGTAAAGAATGTCAAATGTGATATTTGAAACAACCTCACTTTTATTATTTTCGAATACTTTTAAATCCATATATTAAATAGATCCTACGTATTGCTGAATATTCTATATAAATAATATAATTATTACACAAACAATTCACAATATTATAACAATTAATTTTAATATAATATTCACTCTTAAATCAAATAAATTAATATGTAGAGTGTCTCAGCATATGTATTATAAAGATTTGTTTCTCGAAATTGTTAACACTAGAACTACCGATCTTTAATGGGTACCTAACTATAACGTGCACAGATTATAGTAATTTCAGCGATACGATGAATATGAGTGAATATATTGATTACAGTTCTTTCTTAATACGAATTGATACCAATTTTATTCTTAAAGCAGGTGTATGTGTTTGGTGATTGCAAAAAGGAAAATTTTGGGACCAGTCATTTTCACTGGGTTGGTAGTTCTAGTGTTAAAGACAGTAATAAACATATTTTTGGACTTGTCTGCTCTCCGTATAAATACTTTCTTCTGTGACTAACAAGAAACACCAGAAGTTACAGAATTTCTAAAAAGCAGAGAGTCTCGGTGATTTATTTTAATAGATATATAAATATTTGACTTTTCAGTATATGTTTTTAATTTTAATATTTATCTAAGGGAATATATAGCTACATATACATACTTTACTCAGTTAGTTAAGTTAGTTAAAAAACTACATATTACCATAAGAAATAAAATTAAGTAAAGGCATCAAGAAATCTTTTAATATTTTAGCCAAGTCTCTATATAGGGTTTGATCTATATAGCCAGATGACTCATACCTTCTTGTAGTGAAACATGATTTATGATTTCTTTCTACGAGTAAGAAATAAATTTTCAAATAATTTGCACTTGAAATATGCAAGTTATATAATTACTATTTAAGATGACCAGTTTCAGAAGTTTTGTTTTTCGGTTATTGAGAACGTATAGTTGCTATTTGCAAAGTTAATGATTACTTTTATTAACAAAAAAAAAAAAAAAAAAAAAAACGTAACTATATAGATATTTCATCGTATCACTTAATAACTATCAAAAATAAACGATGTTCAGATACATTACAGATCACCACTCCCAATCTTAATCCTTTTGCTACTACGGGTGACTATAGTCACCGGCCACGAGACGCCATCCAAATACGACTATAAAATGATTAGGTGTAAATAATATGATTATACAAGAATTAGTGATAGAATAGTTTAAGATTACTACTCAGTGAAAACAATAAGTTCACCAAGTTCTAAACGCTGTATTTCAAGCACTTTGTATGTTGAGCCATCAATTTATATCTTCCAAGTGACTTGAAACAAAAACACAATGAATTATAAACAAATATACTTCAGAATAATGAAACTGCAATTGCACGGGGTAGAAAAATGAATTTTTAAAAGTGTTGTAAATTTTTAAATTAGAGTCACTCTACATATAGAGTAGAATTTTTCAATCTATGTGTTAGGACATAATAACAAGTCACATTAAACTTGCAATAAATCGCAAAATGAATATCGTTGATCTTATACCTTTGCATAATAAAATTCAAATAATAAATAATGAAATCAAGGTTTACTTAAATAGATCATTACATAATATTAATTACATAATTGGAGCAATCCATTAATTATTGTATTATATAACATTATATTACATAATATCACAATTAATATCATATAAATTAAGAGACTAAATTTACATGTTTGTAAATTTCTATATGAATAAATAATTAAGTAATAGTAAAACTGTAGACATAAAAATAAATTAAAATATATAATATATTGTTTGAATATAAAGTGGGTTGTTGTAAAGTCAAATATTTATAATATTCAATGTTTCAATACATATGCTTAATGTATCATTTGAAAATGGTAAAATATTTCAATAAGCAGGAAGTTTATACATAACAGGATGGTTATATTTGTTTATGCATAAGTATAGATATCTGAAAAACCTTTGCATATAAATAACAAAGTAAACAATTAGTTTTATAATTTCAAAACTATAAATAGGTATGAAAAGAGAACAAACTATGAAAAAATTAAAAGCTTTTTAGGGTAGAAGAGAAAAACTGACTTTAATGTCATATGCCATGAGAATCTACAAAGTGAATAAATAAAAATAAACACAATATAAATAACCCGAAGTGAGTTTATGAGTCACGTAATTGAATTATTATTGTTAAAAATTATGCAATGACAGTAAGTTAAATATGCAAATGTTATCTACTCTTCAAATTAAATTTGTAATAATTTATATTGTATTTCTTTACTATTATCTGAATATATTAAAGCATATAATAAATGAAACCAAATTTATTAAAAATTCACCTAGGAACATGTTACGATTAATATCTCTTTATTTAAAAATTAGAGAATGATTACTTGCATTATATTTGTTAACAGTCAATGTGAAATTTACTTAAACGACGTATTTTATTATATACGATATTCCACTGCATAAGACTTCTAAAGTTATGGAAGTTTAATCATATTAAGGCTTAGTATTTAAAACCTAGTCAACTAATTGTAATACGAGGAGAAAGAAAGTTAGTTATATCTTACCCTGATCTTGAAAGTTTCCACTCAACCTTTTGTATTGGTTTACAGGGTTCTGGCTCACCATCTTTAGTAGTTTTTGCTGTAAAGTATACGTAATAAGATAATATACAATATGCAGTATCCTGAAAGATATTGTGCAACATATATACACAAAAATTAGGCAGTATATTTTAAATTAAAGATTATATATCATGATATCCTTGGATATTTATTTCTTTATTACTTATATAAGTATATAAAGAATTATTTAATACTTCTTTATATAAAGAAATATTTTTAAAATATTTATTAAAGTAATAAGGAGACAAATAATTTAAATAAGATTAAATTCAAATGAATATTAAATTGATGCAAAGAATTGATAATTTTGGTCTCACTATTTAAATATTTTTAATTGCTGAAATTTACTTTTATAAATTAAATTGACATCCCATTATACTACAAAATAGAATGAAATTATATATAAAGACTTGTATGTATTAGTGTCTTATATTTCATATGGTAATTAAATAAAATATGATAAAAATTTGTAGATGATTAAATACATACGCTAATTATACAATTAATATGATTTTATACTTTTATGATTGAGCATATTACATATACACATACACACACATATATAGAAATATAATATTTATAAATATAGATAGAAATGAGAAACTTGATTTTAGTGAAGTATAGTATATTATATTATATAGTATATAGTATAGTATATATATTAATTTAAAAACAAGATTATACTAAAAACGAAAGAGGTGGATCAAGTAAAAAAATTTTTATTTTGACAACTGATTGAAATAAAAAAAAGACATTAGACAATGTTAACATAAATATTTTTATGTATTTATACTAAACATTTTTGTATATTTTTAAATTTCATATTTTATTAGCACCGTTTGAGAAATTTAACTGACGTAAATAAACAAATTTGTAACTTGTAACTAAAAATAGTTCGGGGGGTCGGGTATCTTTTGAAAATTTCCCCCACATAAAAAAAAAAGAAAAAAAAAAGAAGGTTTGGTTAGGTTAGGTTAGGAGAGCCTAAGCAGGAAGAAGGAGTTTCTTCCACCCCTGAGCTTAGCGTGGAGGGAGTTTTCCCCTCTTTCAGAGAAGGCCCTTGCCTTCTAAACGAGCTTAAAAGGGCCCGTTCTAGAAGATAGAGTATAATTCGTGAAGTTCGTTAAGAGTAGTTGTTTAAGTCGTTGGCAGTTCGTTAACAGTTCGTTAAGAGTTCTGTAAGAGTCTTTTAAGAATGAGTCTACAAAGAGTTGTTCGTTATTAGTAGCAGTCTTTAAGAGTTAATTAGTCGAGATTAAATCAGATCCAGTCCCTAGTCTGCGGAAATTTAGAACCGAAGTACTCTCCAGAGTAGTAGAGACTGTATGTGACGCTACAATATGTACATATTTTATACTCTCTGTTAAATAATTAACATTTTATTAAATATTTCCATCGACATGTTTAAAACTTTTAAAACAAATGGGAAAGAAATATTCTCACCGTGTGGATGCGTTATATTCGTTGGTCTTAATTGACGCACCGTCCATGTTGTCAGGGAGCCATCAGTGTGACTACACATAAATTGTTTACCCTCGTGATGCCAAGATATCGATCTCAATGGTACATCACTTTGGCATCTGTAATCCGCATTTTTTGTCTTTAAGTCCCAAAACACTATTTGCCCCGATTCATATCCTATCAGCATCTGAAATCAAAGATTAGCAGCATGATAAACGAGTATCCTGGAAAAGGAAATATTTATATCGGAAATAGCTAGTCTAAGAAAGATGTTATATGTAAATTTTTATAATAAAACGGAATTTTCATAATACACTGATATAATTTATAATACAAATTACGTACACACAACAAGGACAAATATGAGAATGTAGTGCAGAATGGGTCACAAAATTTGATATTAGTTTAGATGCAACACGATCGACGACTTTTTTGAAACTGTGTGTTGAAACTGTATGTAATTATGAATTGTAACATGAGTAATTAATGGATATCCAGCACGTTGACATTCGAGAATTATTATTACAAGTATAAGTAACTAAAAAATAATATTAAATAAATATTTACGTCCAATTTGGCAATAAGTATCACTTTCCAAGTTATCTCTAACTAGTCATTTACAAAAACCTGCTGCTTTCCATACATTAATATTTATAAACGTAGGATTTTGATCATGTAAATCGTGCACCATATGCAAATTTTACTACATGTAAATTAAGTGAAATATTCATAAGAATTTATCAATGATGTAAATTTTTTAACAGGATCGACGTTTTTACTGACGGAAATACTACAAAAATATTCATTTTCATATCATAAATGAACAAGAAAAATATCAATATTGCTAGATTTTAAATTTGGTGTAAAATTTTAAATGTTTGATGTACGAATTTAATGTATATACAAATACATGCGCGATTCTGCAAACATATGTAAAAGTTTACGCGCACACAAAATACATAAAAATAAGTCCTGGAACGATATTTTAAGCTTATAAAAATGTACAGAATATTATTATGAGAATGTACAGGACGATTAGAAGCAGGTAATTTTAGATGAAAATAAGTGAAAAAATGTAGAATAATATACTTCCATACCAAGGTCTGACTGTAAAACTATCAAAAATATCAAAAATATCAATAATATTGAAAATGAGTTTATATTAAAGCAGATCTTAAATTACAATTAGTAGAAAACTTTTGGGCAATTTCTTTAATTTCACCATTTCCCAGAATTGTTCCATTTTATGACAAATGTATTATCTAGAATCTTATATAGTTATAGGCTCGACTGAATGATTTTAAACTGCGCGCCAAACGCTCACAAATTTAAATATAAAATATAATAGAGATAGCACTACCATTTCTTTAAACACTTTATTAAAATTTTCCATTTACCTAATTAGTATTCCATTTTCTTCGAGTAGATTAGTAATAGAAGAATTATTAAAAACCAGGTTTATAAAAGATAATTTTAATTAGAGTAGCTTCCATAATTGTTCTACTTTCGAGTATCTGATAAGATTAAAGTTAGTAGTAATTGAATTGAATGAAATAAACATTCATTAAGAATTTTAAAATGTATTATTTATCAGGAATTAGGCCTAAAAAATTTAGTTACACATTTCCATTTTTGAGGTAGTTACGTAATTCAAAATCTTGTACTAGATGCAAAGATATTCCATTTTTACAATAACAAAAGCAACGACGATAGTATTCTAAATTTTAAATAAATATCGTTTGTACGCTAAGATTTCATTATATAAATGTTATGTTACCACGTCTGTATTATTTTTCAAAAATAATTTTATTTTTTCGCATGGAATAAAAATTTGAATAGAAAATATTTCCGTGAAAATAATGCAAAATTCAAACAAAATTAATCGACAATAAATAGTACAGGAAGAATTCAGAAGGATTCAGGTTACAAACGATTGACGCCATCTTGATCGTAGAAAATATTTTTTCAATTAACGTAAGATCGCGAATAAATAACCAACTCAATAATAAAAATATATTTTATATTTATTACAACCTTCTTCGTGGAAAAATAACACATTCATAATTCTACAAGATATTTCATTTTATTCGATTCAGTTATTTATTTACGATCACAATTGCACCCAAACGCGACGTGACACGATCAGATAACTGAAAGTAAAACTATCGTAGAGACTATATTATAGGAATGCTCCGTTAATATCGACTTAAAACGTTAGTATCATTATTATCGTGTTTATTTTATTATCGTATCGTATTCTCGAGAATAACAAAGAGCACGAATAAAGATAAGAATTAAAATAAACATACAGAAAACTAGTAAATTTATCATTTGAATTTCGTCATAATGTTCATTTATAATCTCCATTCATATTTTTATTGAAGTCAAAAGTTATAATATATATATCGATTAAAATAAATTTAAATACGAGTTTAATCCGACTATTTTGATGTAAATTAAATGAAAATATGCTCAAGTACGTATAATTGTATGTAAAAATGAATAGGTCCTCATATAATTGGAGCAAAATTAACCATTTGCACTCGAGAGGCGCCCTTCAGTCGTTATTTGATAAAATTTCGAAACTCGATATTAATTAATACATCAAATTTAAAATAATGTAACAGTGTACGAGGTATCGATATTAAATAATTCTCCGTGTTAATTATTATACGATTTCTTATTTAGTGCTCAAAAAATATCATCAGCCTTATAGCAGAAAATTTTTCAACTCGTACCCTTCTTTAGCCAAAAAATCATGGAGCGCAAAGGGTTAATGCACACGTGATAAAAATTAAGTTTGTTAAAATAATATTGTTAGCACAACTACATAAAGAAAAATTTTATTTGAATATGTAGGATAAATTTTGAAGGCGAATTTAGAAGCACTATAGCAAACAATTAGTAATTATATTTATATAAACTTTACTTTGAACATTTTTCATCAGCTGATCCAAATACTAAAGCGATGCTTCTCCAACGAATTGATAATGTTCTTTCTTTCAGCCAGTCATTTACAAATCAAAATAATCAGATTGAACCCACATTTTTAATTTATTTTCAATTTATTTTAGAAATTTCAACTTATTTCGAGCTCCATTGCAATTGTGTTATCAAAAGAAACTAGAAGTTGTAAAAAATTTTCTTTTAATTAGTTACTCTGTCTATTTTACCAATTTGAGTTAAGCTGAAGAAATTTTAAAAATTAAAATTTTATCTCAAACTCGTTAAAATCGACTTTCCAAATTAAAAAATTTCAATATTAACGGAGAATCACTGTATATAGAACTTTTAAAAATGAAAGTTTGAAAGAACCTTCTGCTCATCAAGAAATATATTATAAGCAGAAAAAAATAATTTTTTTCAGAGAAATATAGAAATACCCCTTTAAATTTTATTTATCGAATATAATTTTTCACACTTTGGCGATAACTTCGTAAAAATTGATTTTATTTGTTTATACATAAATTTCAGCTTGAGTTGAATTTTTAGGACTTGGAACCCTGAAGAACATCTACTGAAAAACATACTAAAATCTTACCTGTGCTGTCTATTATAAAATATAGTATAACGATATTATAATATTAAAATAGACAGTATGTAACGAAAAATGTGTCAAATTATTCAATTACCAAGTCAACCATAATGTTTTTAAATATTGCTTAACTAGAACTAATTTCATATGACACATTTCCTATTTTCGTAAGCAATGCTGTATAATTTTATTCGAATCACGTGGTAAAAGCCACTTATAACACAATTTTATTCGAATTAGGCTCTTCAAATTTCATTATGGTTATCTTACATACATGATACCTTTGAATAAAAATATGATGTACATATGACGTTCTCGACCTTCCTTGTAATGCCGCTCCATTTTTACATATCTTAAGTTTCTTAAATCGTATGATGAAATATAATTTACATATACAAAGATGACAGAAAATACACAGAAATCGCAAAACTACATAAATGTTTCATGAATTGGTTAACGTCTACGTATTTATAGTTTGCATTCTGAGCGTTAGATATCTTCAAAAGACACATTGTGTGTGCATACGAGGGTGGTTCTTAATAACGAATAATCCAAAATGTTTCAGAGATCTTTTTCATCGTGCCCATTATAATTGTTGCAATCCACTAAAAAATGATGTCTATAGTCTTTGAGATTAGTTACGTAACGAAAAATGAAGTTTCAAACCCCTGGGAGTTCTGTGTGAAAAATACAATACAGTATAATATAACAATACCTGGTTAACTCTTTGCTCTCGATGATTTTTTGGCTAGAGAAGAGTAGAAATTCAAAGATCCTCTATTAAAAAACTGACGATACTTTTTTTAGCAGTAAATATAGAATTGTATAATAACAGAATTGTAGAATTATTTGATTTCGATACCTCGCACACTGTTACATTACATTAAATTTGATATATTAATTAATATCGATCTTCCAAATTTTAGGAAATGGTGACTGAAGCTCTCGAGTGCAAAGGGTTAATATTGAAATATCTGGATCCACAAAGTCGAGATCAACAAATCCATGGCAGATTCGAATTTCTACGAATTCCACGAGTTCAACTCATACCGATAAAATAAATATAGCAAACGAAGGTGAACTGGAGGACAAAGTTGTCGCCACTCGAAACTTAAAGCCAACCGTCACTTCAGTTGACAAAGCATGAAATTTTCAAAACTTTTATTCCCCCTCGATAAAAAGCATCGCGGTAACGTCCAAAATGAGTTCAGATGGAGTTTAAATACAATTTAATTGGTTCTTTCACTCGCTGGAATTCGCTATATTTAATTTATCAGTCTGAATCGAAGTCGGGGATGATCCCTTGGATGGAGTATTCCCGAGATTTGGGGACTGAGTGGATATCGAAAGACTTTAACCAATATTAACCAGACATTGCTGTAATTTGAGATAAGTGACTTGACTTTTGCTCAGTTTCTTCAACTTTCGTGCTAATCCACCACTTCTGTATGGAAGTGACAAACAGTAATCGAGTTAAACGTGATCAATTGGTGATAGATCAGAGAGATCAGTTCGAACACCCAATAAAATTATACCACCTAATAAAATTTTCTAATAAATTAATATAATAGATTAATCGTTATAATAATACTAATACATAAATAATATTTGAAATTAATATTAATACATTGATAATATCACAAATTAAAATGAATACAAATGAAAATTTTCATATTTAAAATCAGATTCGAACAAAACTATTTCCACAGAATTATCAAAATTTCCTCAACAAAAATAAATTGAAATATAATTAAATTCCATTATTGTTATTGTTACATGAAAGAATAATCAAAATGATAATTGAAATTCGTGTATAGTTACAAATAATTAATTAAATATAGTATAAATAAGGTCTATGTTTAAATTTATTTACACTAAAAAGATTTCAGCAATTCGTTAAAAATATTTCCACAAAGAACTACTGAAAAATTTCCTCAACAAAAATAAATTCAAGTATAATTAAATTCAATTATTGTTATTATTACAGGAAAGAATAACCTAAACCAAAATGGTAATTCAAATTCGTGTATAATAGCAGATAGTTAATTAAATATAGTACAAATAAAGTCTATGTTTAAATTTATTTACACTGACAAAATTTTAGCAATTCGTTAAAAATGGTTTCACAAGGAACCACTGAAAAATATAAAAAATCGAGTTTCAAAATTGATTCAAAGTAGATAACTCATTGAGTGTTCAAAATCGTTCTTCTGATGTGTGGCTGACTGATCACGAAAAACTATAGCATCTCTCAATTCTCTTTTATAAAAGAGAATTATATACTACGCTAAAAAGACTTAGCGTAGTATCTTCAATCTTAGTACTTTCATGGTACAAAGACTGATAAGAAGACGGTATCCTAGTTTCAGATCTAAAGCCGTCTTAGATCACTTATCCAGGCCTACTGTATTGTGTACTATGCGCTGCTCAGAAGATGATCCGTGGGAAAAATGTGGGTTGGATTGATTCTATTTCGATAGACCTCTGATAATACAATTACAAAGAAATAGAATACGTGTATCTTTCTTTACTCGTAGAAATATTAGCTAGTGTTAAGATTACTGTGATTGAGTTTCGAAAATGAATCACCTGATGTTAAAGAACTAGTCCTCTTGCTTCCACATCATCTTACAAATCATTTCTTAAGCAATGCATGGTACGTTGCTTCATCATTATTTCAAATATAATTTCAAAAATGCCAATTTTTCTGACTGTTGACCTATTTTCTTTTTTCTCTTGTTTTAGTAGAAAATTATTTTCAGTTTTCATAGCTTCTGTAGTCATCTTGATTTAGGCGATTTAAACTAATTGTAAGTATTCGTTTAGATATTAATATGATTTCAAAGAGGTAGTAGAATAAAATAAACCTTTTTGCATTATGTGAAAATATATTATCTCTGAAGAAAAAGATTTAAGAAAAATTTTTAACCAGAAACCTGCTAATTTGAACAGAAGATACATCATAGTTTGGAGAAAATGGTAAATAATAGCTGAAAGTTAATAATAATTAATTTACTATTACATAATATACGTAAAAATTAAAATTGAAATATTTACTTTTTGTTAATTATAGCTAATAAACGTAATTAAATATGTGTTAAATTATTGCAGATGAAATTCAGAAAAGGTATTTATCACAAATTGTAAAAGATTACTTATATCGTTTTTCCAACTGTATAAATGGAGCACTTTTGCAAGTAGCGTGAATTTAATAACAAAAACGTTAAGTTTTATACTTGTTATTCGCGTTATTTTGCAAATAATATATTTCTAAATTTTTAAAAGAATTTATTTTATTCCTTTACATCTTCGAATCCACTTCAGCATCTAAACTCAATTGAATAATATAGAAATTATAATAGTTAAAAATTATAAAAGGTACACCACTCGAAACATTTCTGCTTATATTTATAACCAGATTTTTAAATAAAACAACAATCAGATAAATAGACAGCTTAAATATTATAATATTTATACGATATAAAATTGAAATTACTGCGTGAATTTCATATTTTCTATGTATAGTAAGTCACAAAAGTATTCTTCTCTTTCCAATTGCCAGTTCTAAATTGCTATTCGTTTACAACACAAGTTTCAAAATTTTTATAAATGAGGATGTGTATTGCATTAAGTGAATTTTCTACTACTTAAATACCATATGAACTTTATTTCAAGGAGTAACTCACTATGCCAAGACAAATTAAAATCAATCGTTGCAAAATTAACATCGTCGCATTAAAGATTTGAAAATACTTATCACTTATATAAAAATATTAATATTTATTATTTTAATACGTAACTGTTAATAAATATTTACGAATCTAGTATGCTTTAATTTTAAACTTTATTATAACATACATTTACATTGATAGGAACTTTGAAACATGTGATGCAAGAGAAAATAATTATCTGAAATATGTATTATTTGAAATATAAGTATGAATACTCGTATGACACACTGTAAGACTCCCAGAAGTATGCATTGACATGTTTTACCATTACTCGGTCTAATTCAAAGTCTACTGCCATCATTTTCTTATGAATTAGAACAATCCCACGGAATCAGATGAAGAAGTCCCAATACAAAGAAATAAGAACGAACCTAATATACATACACATACATATATATTAATTCTGATTTCGATACAATTATATTAATAATGAATTTGTGTATAATGTATAAAAAGATGAGTGATTATGATTGCGAGATAAATTGTTATTAAGCTCTTGATAAGTTTTGTGACTAACGCAACAACACTATGCTTGAAGCGATATAAAAGTAATGGGACTTGGAAATATGGAAAACAAGAGGATATGATCTATACAATAAATATAGCTATCGAATTTATACGGTTATTTAGGGCTATTTAATTAATTTAAATATAGTTATTTCATCTATACGATAAATGCAGTTATTTAAAAATAATCGTGTTCGTTACTATCGCAACAGATGCATCCTTATTTAAAATAAATATTAGTATTTAAATAACGGAACGAAAAATGAAAATTAACTCAACCAGAGCGGAGAATTTCAATTAAATATAAAACCGTCGACTTCAATTAAATATACTTGTTACTCATTTTGTTGCGAATTTAAAATAGCTCCGGGTGCATGAATAAATTTAAGTGAAAATCGGATATGGTATATATTTATAAAGAAACATATTGCTAATAAATATTGCAACTTTAATTTGGCTCGAATACAAGGAATAAACAAGAGAATGTTAAATGGTCCCATTACTTTCCATCTGCATAACACATGTATTAGTAACAAATCAAACGATACGACTTTATCAGAAAGAAATAACTTCGTTAAACCATTTTGTACGACAATAATAGCATGCACGCATGCACACACACAACATGCAAGCACACACTTCTGAGTCTTGTTACAATTAACACCTTAAGGAAGATTTATTATTAAAAAAAAAAAAAAAAGGAAAGAAAAAAAGAAAAAAAAATGAAGAATAACATGTTGAAATGAACATTGAGAATATCCTAACATCATGATTTCATAGTTTCATAATTCGACATAATATTAAATAATGTAAGGTAATGACGTCATGGTAAGGATGGAGAATAATGCAAAATAAAACGTACTCAAAAACACGCGTACCTTGCTCAAATCTAAAGGATTATCACTCAAGTGTACTACAGCACCAGGATGGGTCTTTCTAGATCTGGAAAATATATATACATATATTATATACGTGTGCGTGTGTGTGTGCGCGCGCACGCACGCGCGTGTATACGTGTTGGTATTAAGTGTGCGTTGTCGTGTAAGTGTATATGTGTCGTATTCGTATACGTAATCTAGATGCCTACATATATTTTCGTATAGAATCAGTTCATATAATTGAATATATGTGAGTTCAGCTGTTGGAACGTTCAGATACAAGTTTCATTCAAATTTTATACACAACGTTCTATTTTTTATTCTTTTTCATTTATTTCTTTTCTTTTTTTTCCTTCTCCTTTTTCGTTTCTATTATTTGGGGGCAAAGAAATTGATTTCGTTGAAATTTTGGAAATTGATTAAATTCCTTTGAAATAAAAGTTATTATTTACCGATATGCTTCAGTACCTGTACGAATCAGTACGATATATTATAATCTATGAAAACAATAAGAAAAATTAGGAAAAAACTTTAAACAAGAAATCAAAACAGATGCACAAAATACGATGAAAGCTGTGCTTGTGCATAATGCGTAACATATACATAATAAATATCACCTTGGAAAATCCTAAATTATCGTTTTTCTTTCAATTTTGTTATTTTTGGGGGATAGGGGAGAGAAATCAGTCTAACCAGAGTATTCTGTAATTTCGGTAATGCTACATTTGTATTGAGAAAGCTATATTTTATTTAACTTCGAAGTAAAATCATGAGCAAGAAGAATGGATTAAACTTAAAAGTATTAAAGGTCACAAATTATATTAAACGTAGGGGTTAAAATATCGATAGATCAGTTTTCATATCTAAAACAACAAAACGGTTATAACATTTTTAAATTACACCATAAATGTATTTCCTTAAATCTTTCAACTGCAAATCTTGTCCATTTTGATGATTATTTTATTCCTAGAAAGACTAGAAAGAAATTATTTCATAAATATCAATGCGTCGTACCAATTTTATAAAACAGCTTATGGAAATTATTTTTTTATATTCTCATGGCCATTGCTATAATTTCGATTAATTTAGATTAAATACTGCAAGTAGAAATTAAATATCAATATCTATTACGTTATTTGACATTTACTTCAATTTGAAAATTTGACGTGTTTTACTGAATGAATAAATTGAAATGTAGAAAAATAAATTGGTATTATAAATACTATACAATGTTTGTTATTTGTACTATTAAAGAATATATTCTTCCATTCCATGAGTCTAAAAGAAAAATAAAAGATTGCCTTATTCTGTGTTTATAGTAATATGTAAAATCATGTACAGAAATAGTAATATATAACAAATTTGCATATTTTCATTTGCAGTATAATGTTTTAAGATATATTCCATTAAATTATTTTGAACACATTAATTTTTGTATTTTATTAATAATTTCATTGTCATTAATCATCATTTATTTTTATGTTTTTCAAAAATTAACTGTATAAACACGAGATACATCTTATTGTTATGTCAAGAGAATGAACAAGTTCTTCGTGAAATTAAAAATATTTAATATTTTAATATAAATATAAAAATCAATAATATAAAAATAGAAAAAATAATCTTTAAATGTAATTTATTAATTTTTACTTTAAATAGAGAAAATTATTAATACATAAAATTGTAATAAACATTTTATATATGTTTCTTTCGTTAAAAAATATAATAATTTATAAATGAAGTAATTAAATAGTCATAAATTTTTCTTTATGTAATACTATAATATAAATCTATTCCTTACACTCATTTATTTAATAAGTATCAAAGAATAAAAATGAGCACCGGGTTTTAGATAACAAGTAATAGTAATAAATTGCATCCAAATTTAATATTATATGAGATAAATATGAAAGAGCAAAAATTTTTAAAATTTAAACAAGAATAATTTTATTGTATATTAATTTTATTGTCTATATTGAATAAAATTGAATAACACAAAAGATAATTTTGATATTTCGCATATGAAATTCTAAAATTACATACTAAAAGAAACATTAATCCCAATAATTGCATTCTTCATCAAACATTTATTAAAACAAATGTATTTTATAATAAGAATACTAAATCATCAGATTATTGTAATTACTAGAGTGGGAGTGTTTGCGCAAATATATATTTTCATAAAAAATCAGTAACAAGTGAGATTTAAATAGAAATATATTTCGTCTTTAAATGAATTCTTTATTTTATTTATATTGTTCTCCTTTAGCTATGTTATATTATTATACATTATATAAACATTATTTATTGAGCGTTCAAACAAATTTATTGTGTATTTAAAAATAAAAATACACAATGGTATACATTATCAAATACCTAGACACAATTATATGATGTCGAAAAAAGAATCGCGAAAAGTATCACATCAAAAATATGAAAAATATCTGTGACAAGAAATACTCTCATATGAAACTTTGAATATGTATCGAACTAAAAATTAATTTTAACTAATATACTCACAAGTTACCACGAAAAACATAGAAAAATACAATTTAAATTAAAGTCATAATATATAAATAACAAAGATTTCATTACTATAACACATCTCCAAATTTGTTATGCATGTATTGCATATTTCTTTGCATGGTTGTTAGTATATTTTCACAGCTCATATATATTATTTGCACATTCTGAAATAGTTTCGATACATAAACATTTCTACTTTAGTAATTACGCATAAAATATTGAATATAAAAAAATTAACATATCTTCAAATTCATATCTTCAAATTAACATATCTTTTATATGAGTTTTTGGAATATATTTAAGTATGCATTATCAGAATTTTGCTTCTATCGTGAAAAATTGAATCGAAATAAAACTGTAAGATTTCTATTGTTTTCTTTTTCATATGAAATTATTTGTTATAGTCGTAGAAAAATAAAAATATCTTTAACTAACCAGCTTCAAATTGATTAAAGCAGTGTTAGATCTATAAAACTGTTTCTGTAATCTCTAAATTTAACTCTTTTTCTCAACAATATTTCAAACACATTACTAGGAGATGTAAATCATTTAATCGTGAAAAGTATAATAATAGCAGAAGCTACAAAAAACGTAATCGAGGAACCTAAAAAATTTACTTTTCAAAATAAGAATCATATTAAATTTACTTATCAACCACAGTTAATAATTGTACATGGTATAACCTCAGTTATTTCAAATAATAATTGAAAATATTATTCAAAAAAAGTTTTATAATGGAAAAAAGACATAAGGTTAATAATACTAAAAAATATCGAAAATTTAATAGTTATTTCATGATATTTACTATTTACTATTAATTTTCACTTGAAAATATGATTCAATATGTTTCATAATAAAAGAATTAAAATAAATATATATCTCAAGAAAAATAAGTTGTAAAAGTAAGTTGTAGTATATGTAGTATATTAATGTATAATAAATGAAGTAATAAACCACATTTATTGTGTTGTATATTAAGTACTTTCATATTTAGGATATACTAGTTATTAAATTTGAGGATAAAAATTTTGAAGATATCCTCTTTACCTCTGTACCTCATTTAAATAAAAATTATTACCATCATATTATGTCTTTTTTCAATTTGCTAAATTCAATTTCATAAATAATATTCTTATTTGAAATAAAGAAGATACTGAACAATATCTGGAGATATAAACAAAGTTGATAGAGTACTCTGTATATATAATTACACATAACAATAATTGTATGTTATTATAAAATTTTGAATACATTTCTTTTATTACAAACCAAGTATTGACTTGAACTTTAATACGTCAAACTTATCTTGCTTGTTATATTCACTTTTAGTTTACAAAATATAATTATTTATATCTGGTAAAAACATTGTATATGCATATGCAAAATACTTATTAATTTATACCAGTGTATTGCTTATAAACTCTAATAAAACTTTTTCCTCTGTCACTTTTATCATGTCCATCACTAGCAGATCAAATAAGCAAGTTGTGCCAAATTATGTGTGAAATTTCTATACATACATTTAAAGTTTTCATACATTATTCACAGACTGAATATTCATATATTAGTTAAATATGACACTTTCAAAAACTTGTTAATTATTTCTTGCTTCTCTGATTATAAACACACTGCCTTGCAATTTAACTTGAAATAATTTGAAATATATTAATTTTGTTAAGTATTACACTCAACAAATATATCAATCACCAATAAAATTTTGCAATTATTATCTATCTGCAAAAATATCTTTTGACACTAATGACTTTGCTATTGTGAAACTCTTCACAATCACATTATTAGACACATTGATATTCTAATGATACAAGATTTACAGTTAGATTTACATATTTACTCAATATTATTTTTATATTATATTTACTCTTAAAATTTTATTTGCACAAATAACATTATTCTCATCCTTCTTGGATAGACAAGAGCTAAATGGAAAACTTTACACAGTAATTATTCATTAATTACTATTATATACTAATTACTTATACTGTTGATTTTTGAAAATTATCATTTCAATCCACTAATATTTTTCTGAAACCGCTCATTTTAAAATAAAACATTAAAATAAAATTACAGGGAATGGTTTTAGAATTCATGTTCTTTGGATTAAGTATTCCCTCCATACATTCACACATTATACATATGCACACATCCTAATACAACGTACTTATGATTGCAAATTAAACTTCTTAATTCTAATCTCACTCATCTTTTTGGAAATAACTCCAATTGGTACTTATAGCGGCAATGGCTAAGTTAATGGACATTATAAAGCTTATTAATATTAAAATATACTTAGTACTTGATAATTTATATCAATACACTGTATGTTATATTTTCACGTATGACCTTTAGTTCATGAAAAATAAAGAAAAGAAAAATTTATTTTCTTTGAAATTAATACCTTTATCATTTACAATATTCGATTTTAGATTAATTTTTCAATTTTTTTTTAAATTACTTTCATTATTATGTTACATTTATATTCCTTTCGACGATGACATAAATCACATCGTATATGTATGTATTTCCATCATAAAATGTAAGATATCACTTTTGTCTTATAGCAAAAATAATTAAGAAATTAGCAAATTAATGTATAAACGAAACTTAGGTACATTCATTTCCATGACATACTCGACACAATTCGAAACTGTATATAGGTTAATTATACTTATTTAATCTATCTAATGTTTAATATTATCTTCACAGGTTGTCAATAAAATGTTATAATTGGCTAAAAATGTAGTGAAATAAAAACCTCCATTGTAACTCGTTTTATCAAAAAATCCAAGCTATTCATTTAGTAATTGGTAAACAGTCCAAATATATAAAGAATAGGAGTGAAAATAAAGGTATTGAACAAGACATAATTGCAATTTAATAGTGTGTGTCGCTCGCATTGTTTATTCTACACATGTACACTGTGACACTGTTCATAGTTGATCAATCGTATCTATAACTTAAGCCACTTAGACAAACGTTTGCGTACTTACATTTCGATAGCCTTGTTCCAATTAATTACATATCCAGAAAGGACAAACGTCTCGATATGCAGTACGTGAATGTTCCCTCGTTCTGTACCAACGTACAGCCATTTACTTTGCAGTGGTAGGTGGATGTACGTTATTCTGTTTAAAATACGATATATTAATATTTTTAATATAAACGAGATTTAAATAATTAAGTAATAATAATTAAGTAATAATCGTCTCAGCTTTATAGATGTGCAAATAACAATTGATAATAATAATTATTACTGTTACAGTATTGCCAATAGTAATATTTTAATAATATTATTGACAATATTACTTTAATAATATGTATTAATATTATTACACATTATACATAATATTATTGGAAATAATATTATTTTGATTTTATTATTTATTCTCAGCCAGTTCGTATAAAAAGTATACGTGCACAAAGAAAAGTAATTATCATCATTAATAAACACGAATAAGTATAAAGAGAAGTATAACTTAAAAACTGACCTTTCTCTTTGAAACTTGAGACTCTGCACGACCTGTGGTATTTTCTGCCGAAAATTCCATAGATGCAAGGTGTCGTCCGCAGTGGCAGAGACTAGTGCGCCCTCGTTAATTAAAAACTGTAATTGTATCACCGCTGTACATCCCTCATGCTTTACATGAGCATCTACACCTGGTCGACCCAAACTATTTTATACCGTTTCGATTAAGGAAAATATCTATTGTATAATTTTACGGTACTATGTATTATTTATTACATAAGTATATCATTATAAAAGTGTCTATATAAGTGTGTTATTTAATATATGATTTATTATTATATTATATGTACATATGTACTATATAGTAATATACAAGTTAAGAAATTATAAATGAACAATAAATAAATGCACGAATATATTGCAAGTAATTATACTCAGTGAGAATAAAATTAGAGATTGGTGTTATAGTGATATATTAGCACATGTTTTTAGAAGATGTCTGAAATTAATTAAAAACAATTAATATTGATATTAATACGATATGGTTTTGGAAAACGTTTGACATTAATTGAAAGAAATTAATATTGCTATTAACACTATATGTTTTTGAAAAACGTTTGACATTAATTGAAAGCAATTAATATTAATATTCGCACAATCTATTTTCAGAAAATGTTTGTGATTAATTAAAAACAATTAATATTGCAATTAACACTATATGTTTTTAGAAAACGTTTGACTTTAATTGAAATCAATTAATATTAATATACCGCAATATGTTTTCGGAAAATGTTTACGATTAATTGAAACTAATTAATCTCAAATATCTTAATAATCGAATGTTCAATTATCTGAATGTTCTATCATTAGAACAGAATGTACCCTAATAATAGATGCTTCCTTCTGATACAAATATATAGTATTTGCATACGAAAGAAATATCAAATTTGAATCATTTTATTCTGCTGCATGAAATTATTTATAAATTGTTTGTTATATAAGAAAATGTTTGAAACAAAAGTTAAATGGTATCAAGGGAATCGTACAACGTAATAATTAATTTTTCGTTACTCGTTTCTTTGTCGAAATAACAAGATCATCCTATTGTTTTTAAATATTTCTATACATTTAATGTATAACTTCTGATTCAAAACTGATCGATTTCAAATTTTTTGCTTTTTACTGTATCATATTACAATTACTGATAACATATATGTAACTTTTTGACAAAATCTTATATTAATTTTTATTATATTAGACATATATCGTAAGATAATATATATTTTTTCATTTTTATCGATCAACTTTAATTATTATTATCAGTATATATTATATTTAGGTACACATAGCAGATTCTAGCATTAACTACGCTTGATATGAATTTACTACCATTCTGTTTAGTGACTCAAATATTTCGAAGAACTTTAACCTTTTGCACTCCACTGGCGTCAGCACAGGGGCATTTATAATCTGCAATTTGTCATTTCATTCTATTTCCACGGATAAAAATGAAAAAGTGCTATTAATGCTATTATATAAATAAATTCACTATCCATTTATAATCTTTTCCTTTTTACTCTTTGATTCGGTCGAAACTAAATTTTTCACTTGAAAAAGTTATGCGCTGAAAAGTGTTCAGTGGATCGAATTAAGAATTGAATTGCTGGTTGATCGAATAAAGAATTTCTCTGAGTGTAAGGGACCAACCTTTCGTAAATCAGGTCAATAATATTCAACAATAGAAGAATTCCTTCCGAATCAATATTGTATATCACAAATCGACGTTTGAGCTCTTTATCTTCCAGAAATATCTTAAACTCCTGTTTCGGAAGTCGGAACATTTGTAGTTTTGCACTCAAGTAATTTCACGACCTCGCTGTATCGTTCGAGCCAACTATACTTATATTGGAAAACTTCTGTAATTTAGCAACCAAAAGGAGATCCTGAAACTACTGGCATCTGCTGAGCGTTTTAGACAGTCAAGGAAAATATCCTTTCATCCTCTGAACCTGTGAACTAGGAACCACGAGTTAACACGTAGAAATCCGTTATTCCAGCGACCCTTTGTCTTACAACGCTTCGTTACATTTGTAATAAGTAAATGAATATTATTTTGTTTTCATTTGGTTGCATTAAAATTGACCGAATTGAAATTAATTGTTCTTAGAAATTTTTAGATCTGTGGTTGTAGGACATTCTCACTAGCAAGTTGCACAATTAATAGGTTGACAGGTCATTTTTACTGTCCTCGAAATAGTTTACACTATCACTATAACCTATGCACAGACCAAAATGGTTAACTCCATTTTTTAAGTTTTTAAAAATTTAATAGCTAAACACTTGAGTAATCCTTAATATTTTACTAAATATAGTTTAAAAATATAGTAAATATAGTTAATTTGTTCCTTTCAATCTTTCATTTTTCTTCTTTTCTTGTTTTCTTTTGAATGATGAATAGAAATATATTTGAGTACTTAAAAGACATAGTACAACTCAAACTCAGGCAGTTCAGAGTTTTAAAAAAAATTAAAAGTGTGTTTATGTAATCTTTTTCACTTTACTCTACACATATGTTCTACAATTCACAGTAGTTTTCTTGTTATTTATTTACTTCGAAATTCTTTTTATCGTGTATCGCGTATAAATATACTTAAAACAAATATACTTAAAATAAGAACACTCTATACAACATTATCTTAGATTTTGATCCCCATGTCAAAGTGTAAATAAATTCATTAAATTACCAAGAAATCTAAAATCATTATAACAGTTTATCTTGTTTCTTTTTCTCTGAAACATTAATTCGAAGATGATCTTATTGAAAATTTGTTTGAATAGAATCTTTAAACATTAAAATACACTATCAATTTCGTTGATTTTTATACGAATAAGTAAAGTTTAATATGGAAAACCATTTTATTTAAAAAATAAAAGAAAATAAATTAATATTGCAACTAATAAAATTCACCTCAACACAAGCTCTAATATCACAACTAAAAGACAACTTTATTTAAAACATAAAACACAATACAACACGAATAAATTAATATACTGTAAATCATAAAGTTCGTCTCAATATAAGCTATCGAATTAATCAAAAAATATATCAACTGCCATTAAAAAAAAAAAAATCCACCTAGAGAGTTTTGAAAGACTTTATATCTCTATTGAACAACTATTTTCTCCTAATTTTTTTGAAAACAATTATTTGACACTTTTAGTTTCATTTATAAGATACCCCACTATTTTCAATTAAAATAAACATATACGTGAATTTATTTATAAAAAATATAAATAAATATTATATAAAGTAAAACAATATAATATTAATAAGTGAAAAATAAATATTAGACAAAATATAATAATATAATATTAATAAAATGAAGTAATATTAATATGAAAGAAGGAATTGTTCTATTGCCTGAAACTTCCTTTGTCAAAGTACGTGTGACTCCTTATTATTTCGGATACGAAGGGCTTTGCTGCCTAAGCAAATTCCATTACTTTACATCACTAGTTGAATTATTGAGATTTCAAGGTAATCGAATCTGCTGGCGTATTATGATCGAATATGGAACAGAGGATACGATGTTTTCTATGAGATTGAACAGTTCTTCTATTGAAAGCTAGCAAATGCTGAGGAAGGCGTATGAAGATACTATACTACTAATGTCGACAACGTTCGAGTAGCACAAATGTAGAAGATAAAGGCACGTGGGTCGATGAAAGAACGTGTTTCAGAAATGTTTCGAGAGAAACGAACGTTGAAAGAAGTGTTTCATATTGTTACGTGTCAATGAATGGCTTGCATAGGTCGACGAAGAGGCTGTGCACATTTGTGGAATGGTACAATAAACTTTTGCCCATTGTATTTTTCATTACATCACTTTAAGAACTTTGCTGCCACACTGTACATTATATGCATTATATGGCCTTTCGAGGATGTTTTGAAATGGAAAGTGTTTCGAAGATGTGAAAACGTTATAATAGCTCTACTATGTGCCTTATATTGGATACTTCTGGTAACGATAATGCACATATAAAATTTTTATTTGTACAATAACACAGTGGAATCTATCACGCGAAGTAATTGGGAGGTAAAAATGTTCAAAAGAATTTTCATTTTAATACAATAGCAAGTAGTTGATGCATAATTTTATTTAATACGAAAAAGGATTTAAGGATATAAATTTCCGTTGGAAAGACGTAATTTACATTCATTTAAATACACAATACGTGTAATAACTACGCATGAAAAGAAAGATAAGATCATTTGCGTGAACACATTATAATACATTATACGATCCTTATTTCAAGTTGGTTATCTTTATAAATATAAAATAATTGAAAATGTTAAATATAAATTATACTCTGTCCTAGTTAAAACGGGATTTCGAAGTTATTTTGAAATATTATTATTGGGTCAACAGTATCTAAATTCATGACGTTGGAAATAAAATTTTCATTACTGCTAATAAAATACTCATTGCATGAACTGTTTCGGAGACAAAAGTTCATGGAAAAGAATTTTTACGT